ATTATATAAGATACAATATGAACAATCTATTTGTTAAGATACCAATTTCAAGAAATAGAATGTTCTCATTTAACATTCAAAATAATATTGCCAAGTGTCTCAAAGATTGCTACAAGGATCCATCTTGGCTCTGACATCGTCGATTTGGGCCTCTTAATTTTGGAGGACTGGAGCTATTATTAAAGGGGAAATTATGAGGGATCTATCCTGCATCAATCACCCTGACTAAATATGTGAAGTTCGCTTGCTCAGGAAGCAATTTAAAAGAGCTTTCCAAAGTAGTCAAATTCAAGAACATAAAAGCCACTTGACCTCATAAATAAGGATGTATGCGGTCCAATCAAGCCAAGCTCTCTCGGTAAGGATAATTACTTCCTTCTCTTCATAGATTTTTTTCAAGAAAAAATTGGATATATTTTTGAAGTAAGAAATTGAAGGTCTTTGAAGCATTCAAAAAGTTTAAAGCCTTGGTAGAGAAAGAGATCGGTCTTTAGATCAAAGCTATGTGATATAATCAAGGAGAGGAGTTTACTTCAAAGGAATTTCAAGAATTTTGGAAGCCAACGTATACATTGACCATTGACCATCTCAAGATCTCCTTAGCATAATGGTATGACAGAAAAAAAGATTTGAAGTGTCATTGACAAATCTGAAAGTATGCTCCAGAGTAAGAGGCTACCTAAGGAATTTTGGGCCGAAGCTACCATGGATTCCAACAATAAGTGTGTGGGGAATGACATCATAGGAAGCATGGAGTGTTGAAGCTTGGGATCTCCCATCTATTAGATAAGTTGCGAAGTAAGCTGGATGACAAGAGTGAGAAGTACATTTTCAATAGTTATGACTCCTCAAAAGTCTACAAGTTAAACAATCGAAACACTGTGAAGACATTCATCAGTCGTGATGTCATGTTTGATGAAAAAGGAGAACATGTTTGGACACACTTGATGATCACTACAACTTCTTTGAGGATCAAGAAGGGAAGAAACCAAGGATGAACTCAGAAAGAAATGAGCCCACTACACCACCAAGTACACCAATTGCAAATATTCAGAAGAACCCATCTTCTTCATCATTTTCAAGTGGAGGTTCAAGTAAAAAAAGTACCACACTTTAGAAGTTTATAGGAAATTTACGAGGAAAATGAGAATCAACACAATCTAACTCTCTTTTGTCTCTTTGTTGATTGTGAACTCATGAATTTTCAAGAAGCCATGCAAAGTAAGAACTGTAAGAATGCAAAGGACGATGAAATTAAGGTGATCGAGAAGAACAATGCATGGGAGCTAATTTTACTTCCAACAGAGCATAATGCAATTGATGCAAAATGGGTGTACAAAGCAAAAAAGAATTTCAAAGAAGAAGTCGAGAAATAGAAGGCAAGATTAGTGGTGAAAGGTTACAGCCAAATTGCTGGCATCAACTATGATGAGGTATTTCCTCTTGTTACCTGACTTGAAACTATAAGGCTAATCACTTTTTTGGCAGCTCAAAATAGGCGGAAAATACCTCAAATAGATGTAAAGTTTTCCTTTTTAAATGGTTTCCTTGAATAAAAAGTGTGCATTCAACATCCATTGAGCTATAAAGTCAAAGGGCAAGAAGACAAGGTTTTGAAGCTGAAGAAGGCTCTCGAAGGATTAAACTAGCACCTAGGGCATGGAACAACTGCATCAACAAGTATTTCCTTGAGAATAACTTCATCAAATGTCTTTATGAGCATGCCTTCTGCATCAAAGTCAAGAATGAGGATATTTTAATAGTGTGCTTGTTTGTGGATGACTTGATCTTCACTGGAAGTAATCCAAGTATGTTTAAAGAATTCAAAAAAGTGATGGCTAAAGAGTTTGAGATGACAGACATTAGACAAATGATGTATTATCTCGGTATTGAAGTTCAATAAATAGAAGAAGGCATGTTTATTTCTCAAGAAAACTATGAAAGAGAAATACTCATTAAATTAAATATGAATGATTTCAACCTTATAAGCAGTCCGATGGAATTATTAGTCATCATATGGAGGTGACAACTACTACTCACTTGAATGCCTCCAAGACGATTCTTTGTTATACTAAAGGTAAGATAAACTTTGGCTTATTTATTCATTAACAAATGATTCAAGCTAATTGGATATAGTGATAGCGATTGGGCTGGAGAATTGAATGAGTGAAAAAACACAATATGGAAGACACTAGTTTTACTTGAATGTCAAAAAAGTGATGGCTAAAGAGTTTGAGATGACAGACATTAGACAAATGATGTATTATCTCGGCATTGAAGTTCAGTAAAAGGAAGAAGGCATGTTTATTTCTCAAGAAAACTATGAAAGAGAAATACTCATTAAATTAAATATGAATGATTTCAACCTTATAAGCAGTCCGATGGAATTATTAGTCATCATATGGAGGTGACAACTACTACTCACTTGAATGCCTCCAAGACGATTCTTTGTTATACTAAAGGTAAGATAAACTTTGGCTTATTTATTCATTAACAAATGATTCAAGCTAATTGGATATAGTGATAGCGATTGGGCTGGAGAATTGAATGAGTGAAAAAACACAATATGGAAGACACTAGTTTTACTTGAATGTCAAAAAAGTGATGGCTAAAGAGTTTGAGATGACAGACATTAGACAAATGATGTATTATCTCGGCATTGAAGTTCAGTAAAAGAAAGAAGGCATGTTTATTTCTCAAGAAAGCTATGAAAGAGAAATACTCATTAAATTAAATATGAATGATTTCAACCTTATAAGCAGTCCGATGGAATTATTAGTCATCATATGGAGGTGACAACTACTACTCACTTGAATGCCTCCAAGACGATTCTTTGTTATACTAAAGGTAAGATAAACTTTGGCTTATTTATTCATTAACAAATGATTCAAGCTAATTGGATATAGTGATAGCGATTGGGCTGCAGAATTGAATGAGTGAAAAAGCACAATAGGGTTCGTGTTTTATATGGAAGACATTAGTTTTACTTGAATGTCAAAAAAGCAAGCAACTTTTTCTACTTGTGAAGCTAAGTATGTTGTTGCAACTTCATTTGTGTGCCAGGCAATTTTGCTTCTAAATTTATTGAATGGGTTAAGATTGCCACAAGAAGAGCTAACAAAGGTTTATGTCAATAACAAATGAACTATTGCTTTGGTTAAAAATCCTGTTTTTCATGATCGAAGTAAACATATTGACGCACGCTATGACTTTATTAGAGTCTGCATCACGAGAAAGGAAGGGCAAATAGAGTATTTGAAGACTCATGATCAAGCAGTTGATGTATTCACCAAGCCACTCAGGTGTGAAAATTTTATCAGGATAAGATGATTGTTTGGGATGACAAATCAAGTTTATGAGGGGATGCTGAAAATTAAACATGATTTAATTTGGCTTTTAGTAGAGTCTATAATCTATAATAGTCTTTAGAAACATGATTCTAGTGATAAACTTTAAGGGAGTGATTTAGAGAATTCTAGAATATATAATTAATCACTTTTGTAACAGAAAAAAGAGAATATTCTTGATAGTAAATAGTAGCCATTGGATTGAAATGTGCTGGCACAGTCCCAATGGGTTATCACTAAAATAAATATTTGTGGTTTGTTTTAGTTTTGTATCAAGTAGAATCAAGAAGTGTAAGATTGAAATGAAAATGATCTTTTCAAAGTGTTCCTCTTCTCTTTTTAGTGTTTCTCTTTTTACAGTAGCCTCTTTTCTTCCAACAGATAAAAATTATCTCCTTGTTTTTAAAGTTAAGATTATATCATTCCAATGTCTCGTTCAAACGTGGTAATCTTTAGAACATGTAAAGACTCCAAATTTTATTGTTCGAAAGGAAAACCGTCCCCGGGACAAATTGTACTATATTGCACTCCAACTTAAAGGAAAGAAGATCTTTTTTTCCCTAGCATAACAATACCATCCGATTGGTGTTGCTTATTAGCTTCTCGTGCATCTAGATTCTTTGGTGGCTTTCTCATATTTTATGTAACCATTGTCCAAGAAAAAACATTCTCCCAATTCACTCCTTGGTAGTAGCATGAGAAGGAGTGCCATCCATTTCATCATCAGGTTGCTTTATTCCACATGAGGGGTTAGCAACTCCAGAGTGGATGTTGGAAACCTCATTCAATTCCTTCTATTTTTTCCAGTAATATTTCCCCTTGCTTTCAAATGGTTGTCGGTCCACAACCGATACATGCAAAGTTCGCATACCACTTATAACAACCTTGGCCACACCTTCCTCAATCTTGTTAACTATACTATTACCAATGGAGCTTCATCAAATTCAGAGGCTAACGAGCTTCTTCGCACTGAGGGATTTTGTGGCCAACATTAACACAAATGAAACATAAGTAGGAGAGCCCTTTATATTAAAAACGCTAAAAGAATTTGCCTTTAAATAACATTGATCTAGGTACTCACTCCCAGTTTCTTTGAGAGATCTACTTGTACACAAACACGGGCATAAGTATTCGGAACCCAATAGTTGGTTTGAGCGTCAGTCCACATCGGTTGCCCGGTCATACCGGCAATAGGAAGAATATTGGGTAAGAATTTAGCAAAGCTTCTAAAATCATTGACATTCTAACAAAGCATGAAAAAACTAACTATATTCATCATTAACAACAATAAATAAGCAAACAATTCTATGGTCTACATCCTAAAGCCATACATTAACATTTTGTAAAATAAAGAACTGCACAGATACTTTTATTGAGTCTTGAGATTCAGCTTCCTAATCAGAATAAAGCCTGCTTGAAAAGAGAACAAGTGTACAAGTTCAAATTTGCTCCTATTGGCTTTTATTGCATTCATAAAGATTAATGTTAATTTTGATTTACGGCAATTTCCAACCAAATGAATGAATGACCAAGTTTCATTATATTTCAAAAACAAAGGGTCATTTACAAACATACCACCAAATTCTTATTTATTTATAAATCTGGCACAAAAAACATTCATATTTAAATCAACAATACTTAAATTTTTGGGTGTTAGATGTGTAAATACATTAAAAAAAATATACAATGTGAAGCTTTCAGGCATATTAGAACTGTCAGTACAAGCTGATCTATCATTTAAAGAAGCCTTTGTTCTAGTGAGTTTGATGTATGCTGATCTAAATCCATGGACAACGAACATAAATTTAGGTTTCATCGTTCTCCTCATCAAGATCCAGAAACTGTAGAATACATAAGCAAAGTTTAAATATAATCATACCAAAATTAAAAAAAAAAAGATAAAAATTTAACATAAATAAAGAATTTCAAACCTCAGGGGCTGACATACGAAAGCTTGGCTTTCTTTGTGAAGGGAGTGTTGCATGGCATGAAGCAATAGAATTTGTTGAATTTATGTGAAATTAATAATGTATGGTTTTATGTAATTTCTTTCTAATTATAATAATACCTATTATGTTTTCTAAAATTAAATAATGTATAGTTTTACGTAATTTTCGCAAACTAATTATCTAATTGACTAAATACCTAATTTATCTCCGACCTTGAAGGTCTTGTTGGAAACCCAAGTGCTGTAATCCACACCGGTCGTCCACCCCAGAGAGTCGCCCACGTTATAATTACTGCTAAAGCCGACCACATCGCCGCTCCCGCCGCCATGAAAATAAATAACGGAGCTCTCCTCAAACCAGCCATGGCTTCTTTCACAGATTCTCTCACTTCTGGGTGATTTGGGGAAGAAGATGCAATAGAGTGCTTTATAGGCAAAAGATAAGGGTGGTGCATTATTTCGAGAGTCCGCATGGTGTAACATCCCCGTCCGATGTACGATCGAACGGTCAGGATCCTCCACATGCCACTTTTTATTTATATGGTCACTTTCTAAAACAGACTTTCAATTTGCATAACAGAGATTTTGCTGACACGAAGACAAGTTATTTGTAAATAAAAAAAGTTTGGGGTCTTCTTCGCATACATCTTAAGCTTTTAGCTGATTTGGCATTATAGGCTGTGCGGATCCGTCGTTTTCGACATGGAAGTAACCAATTATAGCAATGAGAACTCCTCTCATTCACACTTGTGGTATTATAAAGACTGCGTGCAGCCGTCGATGGCCCGGTCATATGGCGTTCTTGGCGTGCTCCTGAATAGCCGCCGCTTGATTCCTGCCCGAATCCCTTTCGTATGCGCCAGCGATGTCATTGGACGAACAATAAATAGAAAAGACTTCTAGGTAAGAGTAGAGCAACAGGAGTTTCAGCTCTTAAGAGATTGCTGTAGCTGCCAACTCGAGTTAAAGGAGGCTGGACATCTCCAGTATTGGTTTTATAGCATTAGATAACCTTAAGATTGGAGGAATAGATTAGTGTATGTGCTTTCAAGAGTAAAGCCCACACATTTCATAAAATCAGTGATACAATGCAAAAGCAAGCAAGCTATAAAATATTACAAGAAATTCAATTTAAATTTATCTTTCTAATTGTCTAAATTTTTATTTAAAAATGAGAGTATTAATTTTATATATATATATATATATATATATGAATAAAAAAAAATCAAATTTTATATTCATCTTTTCTAATTGTTTATAAAATAAAAATTACATTTTTTATTTAAGAGGTTAATGAACTCCAGACATTTTACAGCATTTAAAATATAAAAAATAGTTAAATATAATAAATGTGTCAATATTTAATTTGATACGAAATCTTAACATGAATTCAATGCAATGAAAAATAGAAAAAAAAAATTGATTTATGTCACCTTGTGTGGAGAGATTTTTTATTTGTTTGAAATATATACGAGCCGAACACAAACAACTGTATTTTTTAACAAGCCGAACACAAACTGAGCCTTGACTCATTTATAAATACTCATATGCAAAAGCATCGACTCCGTCAATAATAAGAACTTGCTCCGGAAGAGCCAACGGGGTATGACCAAATCCCTCTAGCTAAAGGAGACAGCCAATAATGTGAAATAAAATAAAAATGTTGATTTTACTTGTTATTTTTTATTCTTTTAAAATTTAAAAATGTCAAATAAGTAAATCCTCAAATTTTGATGTCAAATATGTAAATTGTAAAATTTTTAGTGCTATCTAAATACATTGCACATAAAAATTTTAATTTTGTGATCCAAAAACATTGGAAGCAATGTTGTGTAAAACAATATTTTTTTGGAGACAATTATGTATGCATTTACCGTTAATAAGAAATTAATTTATTTAAAATATAATATGTTAATTGGTTTATTTTAATACATAAATGAAAATGCACAATGAAAGTGGACGTGCCGGAGTGGTTATCGGGCATGACTAGAAATCATGTGGGCTCTGCCCGCGCAGGTTCGAATCCTGCCGTCCACGTTGCTTTTTTTAATTTTTTTTTTACATAGCCTTTTTTTTTTCATTAAAAAAGGGAGTATTCTCATTAAAATACAATAAGATGGAATCACTATATATATATATATTATATATATGTATATATTTATTTATTATTTACACATCTCTCCCCGAAACTTTCATAATTTCACGAAATATTTAAATATTTAAAATCAAATAAAACATTTTACTATTTAAAAATTGGTTTAAAACTCCAAGTGTTATGAATGTAAATATGAATGTTTTGGTGTTAGTTATGTAAATTTTCGTTAAAAATATATTCTTATAATTTAGATAATGTGATAATAAGTAAATTTTGAAAATCACATTTTGCTTTATTTTGCCATTTTTAAATTAAACATTCTATTTGTAGCTATCTGATCAAAAATAAAAAAAATAAGAAATTTATCAAAATTAAAATTGAGCTGCTCATAAAAAATGAGATTGGTTTATATTTTCAACCATTAATTGTGGAGCTAACCAAGTTGTTGGGAGAACCAGTTAACAATTGAATCAGTCGGACTGACCAATCTTACCTATTTTTTTAGAGTAAGGAATATACTAAAAATATGTAATTTTTTAGTGTATTTTTTTGTAAAATAGGTGATAACATAATATATTGTTGAACCCAAATTTGTCGTTGAATCACGCCCAAAGAATAGAATCATTTAAGAATGGGAGATTGAGCAGTATGTAAGAGAGAGATGTTTTTTTGGATGACAGCAGGTGATCCAAAATAGGAGTCGAGTGCAAAAGGTTGAGTACAATAGGCTAAGTACAATGGTCGAATGCAGAAGACCGAGCACATCAAGTCAAGTGCAAGAGCCAAGTATAGAACATCGAGTACAATAGATCGAGTATGAGTGGTATACATATTTAATTCCATGATTTTCTTATAAGCATGAAACTATACGTTGCTCATCTTTGTATGACAAGTGTATATTCTTTGGTCTAAGGATAAATTTATGAAATACGTTATTTTCTCAAAATACAAGTGAAAATTTTTCAAGTAAATGTTAGTGATGTATTTCTCTGTGCTTACTATTTGTTCGGTGGCTCTTAGATATTTTACAGGAAATCATCCTAGGGCACTTTGGCTGCATTTATAAGATTTTGTCCTCAGAGCATATTGACTTACATTCAAAGAGTACTCGCATAGATTATAAGTTCATCTTTATTATAGTTTAGTGGACTTATAGGGAAAGTTCCCAAGTATTATCAGTGAAAACGAGTAGAGTGTCCAGATGCAGAAAAAATAAGGGTAGAACGAGAAAAAGAGAAGTGAGTAGTTGAGTCAAGATAAGATATGAATGACCAGGAGAGGAAAATTATGAGGTTTTTCTTTAGTTCTAGCAAATGGAAGATTAAATATGGGATCAAGAATTCAGTGTTTGAATTGAGGATCCAAAATTCTAGTATATAGATAATACCCAATATGTATAGAGGTTGGCATTCTCATAAATGTTATATTTAGACCTATCTCACTCCTAGGCATTTAGATATATATAGTTGTCTTTCATGATCATATCCACACTAAAGTTGGAGTCTTTGAGAGATCCTCTTCTCGATGACTTCTTTGCCAAGAGAATGTTCTTTGCTTATAGTGGTTCTTATAGTCATCACTCAACCTACAAGTGCTTTATTGACTTATGTTCAATCACCTAATCTTTCAGGTTGGCCTTTTATTGTTCACTTCTGAACTCGTCCGCCCGACTGGTTCTTGTTGGACTAATCGAGAGCCATTTGGCCCACTATTGGTCCGAGTAGTCGCTCCTAGTCGTAATAAATAGGGTTTAAAGCTACTCGGTCAATGCTTGTCTGAGTAGCCGCTTTTGATCATACATATTTGTTATTTATGTAATATATATTTAAACATAAACTCTTTTATTTAAAATAATACATTGGATGGGTGCTCGCAATTTTTTTTTTATCGCATCTGACACTTGTTAGGTATATGTAGTACAAAAAATCTTTAGAAGTACCTATAGAATAGAGATGCAAGTTAAATACAAAAAGGATGAATATGAGGAACTGAACGCTATGCCCTTATGGGACCTCTATTTATAAGTTCAGATTGTTGTACACCATATATATATATATATATATATATATATATATATATATA